GTAGAAAATTTACAAAATATCTTCATGGAACATGATCTTTACTTAATATCCTAATGATTTTTGGCATAAAAGAAATATTGATAATTTTGACCCATACAATGTCTTTTTGGCTATTGCTAAAAATATACCCCAGCGACTTAAGACTGGTTTTGTGGTCCGGGGTCACATATGTCAACAAAATGAAACTGAACATTTTGAACCTAGTTTCATCAGATGTTCAGTTATTTATTTATTTATTTGGTTTTTTTACCCTATTTACCCTGGGGTGTCTTGCCTTAAAGGGGTCATATGATGCGATTTAAATTTTTCCTTTCTCTTTGGAGTGTGGAACGCACTTACTAATAGTGGTTTTCTCAATTCATGCGTTACCGCTCTCAATCCAGCATGATGTTTACAGTAAAGGGCTGAATTTAGGAGCGGGTAGGAGTCGAGAGCACTTCAGTAAGTTACCAGCTCCAGCCACCAGCTCGACTCGCTTAATGGCCAGTCCCTCTGGCAAGAGAAATCAGCTTTTCTCAACACTTTCTTTCTTTCAGTTTTTGATTGTCATGCACTTTCACTGCAAAAAGTAAATGCCAGTAAATCACTTAAGGGCTGACCACTTCACTTCCACCTGCGCACACACACCTCCCAATCCGCTCCTCTCCATCTATCCTAATGCTCCTTTCTTCCATCCAGAAATAAGAGCACATTTATGATGTTCGGAAATGTCTCATGGATGTATTAATCACCTTTCATGATCACGGGCTGTGCACCCCGGCACAAATGAACACAGCTGCGTAGCGTGACAGAGAAGGTCCACATGTAATGTCTGTATGTGTGTGCGTAATTGCCTTGCTATATACCTGCCTCTGTTTTTGCAGTCGATAATAGTGTGTCCTCCACAAAAGAGAAAAGTGCAAGTCCAAAACTCATTCGAACTAAGTAAACACATTTTGTCACCTGAACTTTTAAAGCACGCCACTTCTTGAAAAATAAATCACTGTGATAACATCTGACATTTACAAATCAATCATAAAATGACTTTTTCTTTTATCAGATGGTCGATTTTTAGATGGAGATGGAGTGCGGATTAAGATTTAGATGGGTTTAGTTGGCAGAATTGTGTATTGGATTCTCTTAAGCAATCGATGTGAGTGGCCTCAGATATTGAAAAGGCAAATAATTCGGTCATGTAGCTAAAGCAATCAGCGAATGAACAGGAACACAGGATCTTATTTGTGGGGTTTACTGCAACAGCTGAGAAATCAACTGCATTTTATATAACACACTGTGGTTATTGTACAGCTTACATAAGGGAGGACAGGGAGAAATGTTAATGCACTGATTTCAAACACTATCTAGTTGTGTATTGGCACATGTTATATAATGTAATGAATTAGCCATCACCAACTTTCATTCAGTGGCTTTTGGGGTCTTTCATCTTTATGTGAGTGAGAAAATGTGGCAATGCGTGTGTGTGTGTGTGTGTGTGTGTTTGGTCTAACCTTGCGATCCATGACGTACATGCACCATGTAAAAAAAAATTTAATGTTTGTAAAAAACCTAAAAAATTAAGGCAACAGTTTGCATGACTTAATTTAAGTTAATTTACATGAATCTATTTTTAAATACATTTTATGTAAATGTCTTAATTGTATTTAAAATGTCAAGTTGTTATAATGTAAAATCTGGATTTAAATTTTAATAAAGTAGCTATACAATTTTAATTTGTTAAGTTCACTTAATTTGCATGGTTTTAAATTGTTCAATATAACAATATAAGTTGTTAAAACTTGAAAAGTTCTAAAAAGTAAAAACTGCGATGATTAAGTAAATTGGTTTTTTTTTCAGAATTTATTTAATGGATCTACGATTTTTTTAAGTACTTCAGTAGCCCTTTATATTTGAGATGTGTTAGTTTTAATCGGGGTAAATTTTGAGTGAGAGAAGTTTCAATATTGTGCTAACACTGTTCTATTTGCTTAGTGTTTTAGTAATGATATGAATAAATGTTTCACTGGATAATGAGTTTACTTATAATCGCTTTCCATTATGTGGATTATAATATTTCATAATGCAGATAGTATCAAGCGGTTATCTTTCTAAAAGTACTTGTGTTTTTGAGCCTTAGTGTCTTTTAGAATATTTAAGATTAGGGAATGAACTTGAGATATTATGTTTACCGGTGGAAAAAATAAATAAATACAATTCATAAATAAATAAATTTCCACATCGACAAAAACAAATAAGGCATCATAGATGCACATAATTAAGTATCAGAGAATTTCAAGTCTCTGTTCGGCAGTTGGGGAAAATTCATGTTGCTTGTTTTCTAGGAAACCTTGCCAAGTTGTAGAAAATTAATATGCCATGAATATGTAATAAAACTACTTACATGTCAAGCAAAAATGATTTTGATTAGAAGCATTTATTATTCCACAGAAAGTTTACAGAGTAAGGTGCACAACTAATTCAAGTTAGATTAGATCAACAGCATAAACACTTGATTAAATTATGTCAAGTTTATTACAGGCCATCATTTTTTCAAAAACTTATAAACATGGTTCAACAGTGTAATTAATTAAATTAACATGCTAAAACAACAGCCCTAATATATATATATATTAGGGCTGTTGTTTTAGCATGTTAATTTAATTAATTACTTATGGGTGACCATACACTACTTTTTAATTTTTTTCTTGAACAACAGCCAGAACCATATGCACATTTTTGCAGTTGATGGAAATCATCCATTTCTGTGACAGCAGATGATGTTTGCAATTGCATGGTTTCATTTTCAGTTTTCACTAGTCATATGTGTTCCGAAATGCCATACTTCTGGAGAAGTTCTGGAGAGTCAAATTACAGAGCTGAGTGACCACAATTGTGTTTAAAGTGCCTCAAAGTGCAGCAAAATAATTACATGCCGCCTGCTCTGTATAAATATTGAAGCTCGTGTTAGACTGTCAGCCGCCCTCTATATTTTGTTTTGTGGGATTTTTAACTGTCAGGTCAAAACTGATGTCATGTAAGATCATTCCATCCTTTACATGTCAATTTGTTTATCACAGAAAAATTAATATTGCTATAAAGTAACTGACATGAAGGTAATCCACTATGGTTTAGTCATGCCATTTTTTTTATTATAAATTTAGTATTTAATGAGTATTTAATCATTTTACTTTATTTGATACACAAATATATAGGTTTTATTAATGGATTGTGCTGGAAAATGCACCACAACACTGTGACTTTGACATTGGCAATTTATCTTGTATGTATCCATATACAGTATGTGTGCAGTAATTTTAAGTGGATATGATTGTGTGAGTGTGTCTATCCCGACATTCACAAAGATTAAGGTCATGGCAACAGGGATTTAATGTTTGCTATACAGATTCTTGCACTTATTATTCAGTATGAATAGCAGGAGCTTTTTTTGTTGTTGTTTTGCATTTGTGGGCATGCGAGTGTGTTGATAGATATCAAAGTTGAAGCTAGAGGCTGTAGGGCTTTGTTGTTTGGTGTGCATTTAGTCCTCTGCAGGCGAGGGGACACGTCTGATGTAATTCATCATGGTATTTGAGGGAGATTGGTGCGTATACTTTGTATCCCTCCCCTTTTATATCTCTTTCTCTTTTTGTCTCGCTCCTCTCATATCTTCTGGCTGTGGATTCACAGTTCTGGTTCTCTGTTGAGAGTATACTTGTAGTTCAAGCCAAGTCCTTCAAAGCCAAAGTTCAGTCAAATGCTTGACTGTTTTACAATGCCAAAACAGACATCAAGTTCTACGGAAAATATTATATTGTGGTAAATTAAGTGTGCTGCATTGGCACACTTTAGTTATTTTAATTACACGGATGAATAATGGTGTTTGTTTGTTAAACAGCAGTAAGGAGCATTGAGTATTGATTTGGAGCTCTGTCACTTTGTGTCCGAGGCTTGGCTGACAGATTGTCTATGATTTTGTAGTTTTTTCCGGGAAAATAAATGAGAAAGTTCAAAATGTCCATATATGTTGAATTTCAAAAGAAAGAATGAAGGAGAGTAAAAATGATATATATAAGATTTAACCAAAATAGTATGGATTGACCATTATTGAGCGCTATAAACACATGTTATGTCTGTTTCACTCGTACTGGAAGCCAGAGGACACCCTCGTGCAGAAACTCCACATATGCATCACAGAAGTAATAGAACTCATGACGCTCCAGGAAATCCCTAATATGGATAAACAAAAATGATTTTGATTAGAAGCATTTATTATTCCACAGAAAGTTTACAGAGTAAGGTGCACAACTAATTCAAGTTAGATTAGATCAACAGCATAAACACTTGATTAAATTATGTCAAGTTTATTACAGGCCATCATTTTTTCAAAAAGCTTTTAAACATGGTTCAACAGTAGTTTATTTTTTGTCACCTAGCCCAGAATTCATAGCGTGTTGCTTTTTTCCTTCAAATTTGAAGCCATTTGGTAATTAAAACATTAAGACATTTAATCTGCACTGTAAGCTGATGTATGTTGTTTGTTACTCAAGCCACATTTTTCCTGTTATGTTTAATATGACTAAGGCTGTTTTAGGAGACATTAATGGAGAAATCTCTTTAATTGTGATTCACAGTAGTACTATGTCCCATTATAAATATTTTTGAGTATCTTTCAACAGTAGTTTTTGCATGATATTTTACAGGTGTAATAATAATCCAATCTCTAACACCTTTCTTCTTCTTTTCTCACAGATATCCTTCTCTCAACACAGCAGCATCATGGACCTGGTACAGTTCTTTGTCACATTTTTCAGGTATGTACACTTTTTTTCAGGTATGTACATTTAAATTAAATGTTCAGTGTAATTAAACACTAAAATTAGTGAATTAAACATTTACTTTCTTTCTCCATTATATGCATTGAATTCTAGTTTTTGGAATTTAGTGAGATAAGTTTGCTGAGGATGCAAGGATGCATTAACCTCACCATCCAAAGCCACTAATGAAGGCTAGCTGATGAATAAGCACAATAGGTGTAATTGTGTTGGCTGTGATGAAACCAAACACTACCACTCTTGCTGTCTCTGCAAATAAATGCATTCTATGTTGTTTTAAGGGATGTTTGTAAAGGACACATTCATGCATTTAGAAGCAGCTATATGGTTTCGAGGAACGTTTGTTGAAGAAATGTATTATATTGTAACAATTGCAATTGCCTTTTTTTAATGATTAAACTACTTTTTTATAAAATTGGAGAAATAGTTAACACAAAAATGAAAATTCTCATGTCGTTCCAAACCTGTATTACTTACAATATACAGTTTTAATATTTTTTGGAGACTTAATTTGTGCATACATCCAGTAGAACCATACTGGGTATGTTTGGGGTCAGTAAGATTTATTTATTTATTTGTGTGTTTTTAAGAATTTGATGCCTTCATTAAGTAAGGACGCATTATTGATCAGAGATTACAGTCAAAACATGTATAATTTTAGAAAAGATTTATATTTCAAATAAATGCTGTTCTTCAAAATTAAACACTTTCCCCTTTAAGCAGCACAGCCATTTTCAACTAATCAGACAGAATGTTTCTTGAGCACCAAATCAAGTCATATTTAGTCAGATCATCAAACCATATTTTAATGTTTTATTCAAACATTCAGGACCATGTGGCTGTTTTGCAATTACAGGAAAGAATACAAATATAGATAATAAAAAATAAAATATATTCAAATTGAAAACTGTATATATATATATAGGATAAAGATATGTATATAGGTAGATTCATAGATATGCATACATAGATGCCTCATTAGCTAACACAACATTAAAAGTTACCAATGTTTCAAAACTTGTAATATTGAGTTAATACATTTATAAACACAAACGTTTCTTCGGAAATTTACATCCCGGCGGTTTTTACTAGGGGTGCTCCGATCAGGATTTTTGAGGCCGATCACAGAAAGCAGTATCTGTCGATACCGATCACCGATACCGATCTTTTTAAAGCCTTCTTTTTATCATTTATAACTATTTATAGTGATACTCCAATCAGGATTTTTAGACATTTATTCAGGGCCTGAAGTTCATTTTTGAAAATGGGGGGAAATCCCCTATTAGTTGACTCTTGTGAGAGGGGAAGCAGCTTTCACACAAGAGTCCGCTACTGATCCATGGCTGTTTACCACAAACACAACATCATTCATTATTTTGATTTCAAATCCAAACATTGTCACTGAAAGTGCTTTTTCAGCATTGCAATTCTTTTTTTTTACACAGTACAGTAATACAATCTTTCAAAGACATGTTTAAACAATAAATATAAGCAACACATTATTCAATGCTTTTTACTTTAATTCAGCGCTTGCAGCGCAGCAGTAGACTTGGTGTGGAAACGATCTCTGCACTGCTACAGACGCACCGCTCCTGGAACGCACTGCCAGAGAGCAACCGTGTGCAGTGAACGCTTATCCGTTAACATGAGCGTGGAAAAAATACGCACCACGTATGCACTGCAAACGGAGTAATGTGAACCTGGCATTATGTGTGTGCGCTGCGAGTGGTGCATGAGCGCACGGTCTCCAGGAGAGCGCGCGGGCGCTGAATGGTTAAACACTGGTAAGAATTAAAAAGTAATGCAATTTATAAACTTTAGGCGTTATGTGAGCGCGCTGCCAGTGTGCATGAGCGTATGGTCTCCAGGAGAGCGCGCGAGCGCTGAATGGTTAAACACTGGCAAGAATGAAAAAGAAATACAATTTATAAACTTTAGTGATGACAATTTATAAACTTTAGTGACGATGTGACACTGCCTCGACTGTGCAAGTGACAATTCCTGTGTCAACTGTGCAGGGTGCAGCTGGCTTATAGACAAACGCGATGTGTGGTGATTTGAAGCCATTTGCATATTTTGAGAGAGAAAGAGAGAGCGCGCGCGAGTGGTGATTCACTCACGCTGTTTGTGAAATTACGTCTCACACAAGGTTTTCAAATTACTTTATAAGTTATTTAATGAAGAAATATGAAGGTGAGTACCTCACGATAGTGATCGGTAGCCGATCAATCGGAGCACCCTTAGTTTTTACAACCAATGGCTGAGCAGGATTGTGGCATCTTCGAATATTCATTTGATTAACATGGTGAATGACGCCAAGTTGAACGTCAAAGATGGCGGACGCGTCTACATGCTTGGCGCAGTCGAATGGGGAATCTACCTATACATATCTATGCAGGGCTCAAATTAACTTTTTTACTTGGTAGCACTGGTGCTCCCAACATCAAGAAGTTAGGAGCACCAACAAAAATTTAGGAGCACCCACTGAATATTAAGGAGCATCACAACTGTCAATAGAGCGGAAGGGCTGGCAACATCCTGATGATTAAAAGCTTCAACAATTGAACCTGATCCTGAATTCTTTGCCACACACTTGGCCAGGCATTTCTTGTTAGGGATGCATCGATCTTTCATGGCCAATTCCGATTGCTAATGTTTTAGAAGCGAGTAAGTAGATTCTGATAGCCGACATATTTAACATGTTTTTTTTTTTATTTAAAGCAAGAGACAAGAAAATATGAGTACATGAACAAGATGTTTATCTGCTTTATTACAGTCTGTATCTGTAGCCATTTAAAATTAGAGACAACCACAGCATTTTAATCATGATTCAAACAAAGATTCTGCATACATGAACAGTTTCAGATGTAAATTAGAATGTATTATTTCAAAATCTGCACGAAACAAAAACAGCAGACGGTCTGAATGAAAATACAAATTCACTCTCTGACAGCAGGAGGCGTTTATGGAACAGCAGCGATAATGTAAACAAATGTAAACAAAGCAGCACTGCACGGCTTTGTTCTTTATGCAGTATACAGAGGCAAGATGAGAAGAAAATGTAATTTAAACTTTTCTCAAGACAGTCAGTTCCCCTCAGAAATACATTGATTTAAACCTCCACTACCAATTCAATATTTAGGATTTTCTTTCTATATTTTGCGCATAGTGAACAGTGAGCTTGTTCTGCCTGCTACAGTATTTTCTTCTCTTTGCGTCCATCTTCAGCGTCTCTGGCCTCTGTTAATGGCCGTTTACAGACTTTGTAATATTTCCACACAAATGTCATTTTGGAAAATGATTTCAATGCAGTTTGTGCAAGTCCAGAACAGAGATCGGCTGAAATAAAACAAAAACCGTTTGGAGAAAAAAACTGTCAGATCCAAGTTAGCTCCCTGTCACGTGACAACGGAGTGCAGAGAAAGAGACTGATTGATGGCTAATATAACCAATCTAAAATACGCATTAAAGTTAAGAATGTAAAGATGAAGCTTAATTGGTTATGTAACGTTGGATAGAATGGTGGGCTGGTCACTGTATCGGCTCACAGTAGGCACATAATTTGTACTAATTCGCGAATGTTTAGCAGAGAAATGAAGACAGGTCACACCACAACAATTATGTGCCCTTGCACAAATGCTCCCAAATATATTTTGGGGTCACACAGATTACATTTTGGGAGCATATGCGACCAAAACGGCTGCAATTTTGAGCCCTGTCTATGGGTAGATTCCACATTCGATCGCTACAGACACGTCGACTCGTCCGCCATCTTGGAATGGTCTATATGTCGTCACTCAATCAATGAGTTTCAAGATGCAAAAACATTGCACAGCATCTTGATATAAAAAACGCACAGGTAAACAGGTAAGAATGTGTTGGTTTGTGTTTTTAATATGTATTAACTCAATATTACAGGTTTTTAAACTAAAGTACCTTATTAAATGCCTTGTTAGCTAACGGCTTCGTCTTGTTGTATTGTGTTAGTTTATCAAAAGCATCTTCTGAAGTCTACTGAAGATATAGATATACATGTGTATAACAAAAGTTGCACTGCTGATGCACCGGCATTGCTCTCGAGCATTCATGGAATGGCTTTGATATTCCAATATGGCGGACGGCTTACGTATAGCAGCCCATAGAAACAGCCGCTAATAGGACATCTAGCTAGTCAGCGTCTCTCAGTTCCCCTGAGCCAATTGAGTTTTAACCCCTTATTTACACTGCACACGTCTCTGGTGCATTACTGCTCATGGCCACTCTAGTCAATGCTTGTGTTTATACCAGCCTTGCTGCTGCTTCGCTCAAGATATGTGCCTAGTCTATTTTTGACGGATGCAACGTCCAACCTGCAGAGTTCAAATACAAAATAAACATGCTGTACAGACTAAAACACAGCTAGAATATTTTATCCTTGTCATTCATAACTGGACTTTTAAGTGTATTTACTTGTCTGTAGGCTACAGCACAACAAAGCAGGACTTAGCAATAAATATAACAATAAATACAATTAAACTGGACAATTTGTGTTTAACCATTTAGCCAACTAACCCATGGTAGAACCCCAAAAATCGAAGGGGGAAAAACAAAACATTAAGAAAAACAATGTCAGACTGGCAAATCTTGTGGTCTTGTGAATCTAGTTGCTTCACTTCTGCAATGCTCCTGGTGTGAGTTGGCACCGCGTGGAGAATGTGCCACAGCCATGTGCAGACCCCCTAAAGCAGTGGTTCTCAACATTTTTAGGGCCAGTGCCCCCCTACCCATTATCCAGGTTTCTTACCGCCCCCCCATCAAATAAAATGTAGTCTAATCGTCTTCACTGAATATTAAATTTGATTATTATTTTGTCAAGTCAAGTCACCTTTATTTATATAGCAAAAGGTTAAAGAGACCAAAGAGACCTCTTTAACCAAAGGTTTTTTTAAATGAGGATGCAGTCTTGTAAACTCATGTCCCAATCATTTTCTTTGTTAAAT